TTTATTCATTCATTTTTTTAAATTTGACCAGAGAGAGAGACACGGGGGTGGGGGGAGAGGTGAGTGAGAAAGCAAGCCACCAGGTCCTGGACTCAAACCATGGTCAGCCATGTGGGAGTGTCCAGCGCCTTAACCACCATGCCGCCTGCTGGTCCCCAAAAGTCAACTCTTGATCCTCTCAAAGGATCCGTGTCAGTAAAGGCATCATTTTCAACCTAACTGCCTATGTACCAAACCTAGGAGTCATCCCCAAACAGACTTTCTCTCTGGCCTCCACATTTGAGTCAGTAGCAAGTCCTGTTGATGAATCTACACAGGTACCTAGATCTGTCCTTTTCTTTCCATCTCTGCTGCACATTCTGACAGAAGCTGTTGCCAGGGAGACTTAACCTTTGGAGCGTCTCTACCGAGGCTAGGAGGATCTTTGGCTTCATGCAGTAAAGAATTCAAGGATGAGCCACTGAGAGAGAGTAAACAAGTTTAGTAAGAATAATGTACAGAGCAGACTACCCCATAGGTGGAGCAGCCACATGAAGTGAGATGGGTCAATAGCTTCATTCACCTCTGACAGGAAGGGGAGAACTGTTACCCAAAATGAAAGAAGGGCTAAAAAAAAAGACATGATGTATTTATATGGGAGTGGTGGAGGGCTTGGGCCACAAAAATGGTGGGTACTTGATTAGCTTTCTGGATGCAAGCCCATCCCACCCTCTCTCCAACGGGCTCTGGTCACCAGAGGTATGGATCCTCTTCCATGCACTGACCTGCAAAGCTGGCTTGCTGTCAGTAGTAACCCATCAGTGAGAATGGCGAGTGTACACACCCCATGGCAAAAATCTATTGAAAAAGAATGAGCACTATTCCTTCCCAGGAAGTCAGGAGTAAGAATGAGTGAGTGGTGGTCTTGACTTGTGAGGTGGTTTCTGCTGCTGTGTTCTGGAGTCTGTCGCTGGTGGTGACTAGCAGTGATCCTATGTGAGCCCCCTCAGGGTCCTCCTTCTCTTCCTACCCCCACCTATGTACGGACAGGCCCTCTAATATGTTCACCTGGTGGATTGTGCACGTGTGTGCGTGCATGCATTTCTTCCTCAGTGATTTGTTCTTTCTCTCTGAAAACTTTAAGAAATTTCTCTTTGGAGACCAGCAGATGGTATAGTGGTCACATTGCCGGACTCCCACATGGCTGACCATGGTTTGAGTCCCAGACCTGGAGGCTTGACACTCATGCCAAGCACATATGCATGTGTGCCCAAAATCCCAGAAGGAGAATGGAGAAGAGATTGTGG